GGAGGAGGCTGGGTGGGCCCCAGAGCCGGTCTGGACGCAGAGGCCAGAGGAAAAATCCTCTGGTCGGGGATCGAACCCCGGACGTCCAGCCCGTAGCTAGTCACTATACCGACTGAGCTATCTAACTAAACTATTTAAATTTTAATTCGGTCGTGAAACTAGCTAAAATAACCGAATAAGCGGACGTCTTAAACTTGTCAAAGTATATTAATAATTAATTACATCAGCTGTAAAATTATTATAAAATACGAATAGAATCGGATACAGAAGAAGACGGTCACGGATTGGATGTAGACTATAGAATAAAACGATTAAAACCCTACCTTTTATATATTTTTACCTCAGTTATCATCTGGCACTATAAACCGTTTTCGCGTCTGGCATTGTTGATTAGGGCAAGACCCCCATTGTTCAATGTCCTGGGTGTTCGTGTCTCTGACAACGCGTGTTCAAAGAGTTCGACGATTTTCACATTGCAATAAATTATGAGCTTGGTTGCTTCAGACTGGGGCCAGAAACGTAGAACTTCTGTTCTTCAGATTAATGATGCAAATGTTCAATACTTGATTTTGTGAAACCGCAGAAGCAGAACAAATTTGGTTCCGCAGTTGCCTTGCCACCCAAGAGGACAAACGCTGAAATTCCGATGCCCGATTTCACAATGGATTCAAAGGTCAAAATAGGTACTAAGCGGAAATTTTAATTTGATATGGTTTCACTTCTGTTTAACGTAAGAATAATGTCACAACCTACTATCTATGCCACAGAAAATGCATTAAAGCTTTGACATACAAACAAATGTAGGGCATTTAACTTAAGTGACAAAGCGAGAAATTAAGTAAGGAGAACTTTTTGAGTAACTAAACCAAACAGTCATCCAATTGGGTCAGGAAATTCCCTGCCTTTATTAACCGGAAGGTCCATTAACTTGTTAACAACAGCAGATCACCGGATCCAGTTCTTAGCCAATTGAATTCAATCTATACCTTCACAAAATCCCTTTTACTTTATCCTTCATCATTATTAGATCTCTGCTTAACGAAGAGAGGCAAATTGTTACTTAGGACTACTTGGTTCGATTAAAAATCTGTCACGTCGATCGGCGGATTTCTGTTTTATTTTGCGTGCTACGTCTCAACGCAGTAAAAATAGTTCGAGATCATTTTTTCTCCTTTCTTATTTTCATCTTGCGTAATTTTCTTCCTTTCTTCATTTAATTAATATTCACACACCATTGTTAAACCAATG